TACTACTATATACTACTACTCCTACTACTACTACTACTACTACTACTACTACTACTACTAACTACTACTACTACTACTACTACTACTACTACTACCACTGCTACTACTACTACTACCACCACTACTATTACTGCTACTTCTTCTACGACGACGCCAGCGACTACTGGTTGATTGCTGTGATGCTGTTGCTTGTCCTCCATCTCATCGTCCTGCTCCTCCTGCATTGGACTGCTGCACCTACTACTCCAACGCATCCAGCTCCACGGCTTCTAGCACCAGCCCAGCACCAACAACAGCAGCATCGCTGCTACCCTGTGTCCAGTCTCCATTTGCATCCTCAAACGCCATCTGCACTATCGCTGCAGCTACCTTAGTATTACTGTTAATGCTTTCTGTCGTGCTAGCGGCTCGCGCGACAATGCTCACGACGACGGCGAGGACAACGATTTCCATTGCGCATGCTGTTGCCGCTGCCGCGGTTTGCCGCCGCAAACGAATGCTATTGCTGGTTTTATTAGTTCCATTCCCCTCACACAGCGACTTGTCTGTGAAAGGGTCCGAGCCTAAGGAACTCTGGGAGCGCCATGAAACTGTCGGAGCCGGAGCCGGAGCATGTCGTCTCCGTAGACAGTCTGAAGCTTGATGTTGAGGCCCCCTCGGGCTTTTTGTTAGCAAGCTTCGTGTTTGGTCATGGTGACAGAACTCGCCAGCCCTCTGGGGATGACAGGGATGTCGAAAGTATAAGAGGCATAAAGCCAGCATGGGCTGTTTGGCATTTCAGTTGACGCAAGTTGTGTGCAAGCTTTATTAGACTTTATCAGTTAGGACGATCCATGCACGAAGATATTGGGGTGGACGTGGAGACGGGCCGGGTAGGATCGATTCAGCTTGTCGCGATGCCTGAAGGATGATGAGGAGCTGCATGCCGGTGTGGCAATTGCAGTGGCAGGGCAGGACGGCGGAAACAACAGTTTGACGGGTTTGATTCGATCTTGAAGCTCTGAAGCTTGGGGTTTGCGATTTCAGGTGGAGTGAGATTAGTCTGTCCTCCTGCTGACGGTTGGAATCGCTTAAAAGTGCAACCTCGAGATTATGAATGCTGCGGTTGATAGTTTGAAGCCTCAATATTGAACTTGTAGAAGTAAGAAGCATTAACATGGGCATTGATGACGGTAGCTGGCTTGGCGCATCCGACAAGTTCACAGTTTAGAGGATGTGAAAAGTTCTCGGCTTTTCGAGTCGATGTTGCGGCTTCGTGCTCAGAGGCCTGAGGCTGGATGTTTGCAGAGAGGTAAAGCCCTCCGTCCACTCAAGCCTGAGCCTTGAACTTCACAAGATCCCCACGGTCCTCATAGCAGAAAGTACGAAGGACGCAACTACACAGCAGCTGACAGGGATGGCTGCCGAGCTGCAGACAGAGACTCGAGTTTCCATTGTAGGATGACGAATCTTCAAACGTTTCAGAGCATCAGTTGGCCACGGCGTCACGACAGGAAGACCACTCTGTAAATATGAAACCTGTCTTCCCTGTGACGTCTTCCCTGTGACAGCGGGGAAGGGATTGAACCTGCTTGTTCCAAAAAACCTCCGCCAGCCGAGGTTCTGTTTCGTTCAATGGGTGCCAGTGCGCCAGTTGTGGCCCAGGCACGGTTTGGCGTTCCGGTTTATGGCTTTGAATGTCAAGGCTGGAGGTTTGAGGTCGCCTTCGACATCTGGATTGGTTGAGGCTGTCTGAGCTTGTACTTCAAGGTGCACCAATTTTCGTAAATGCGCTTGTGGGGACTGAGCTGAAGGTCAGGTGCCTTTGCAGGGTGAAACTGACTCCGTGCCTTTCGAGTAAAGCTTTCTTAGCAGGATGTCACCCTAAGAGGAGCAGGAAGAGGTGGGTAGTCCCCCAAGTCAAAGTCCTTCTGTTTCGAGTGGCGAGGGGAATGCCAAGTCAGCGAACTACACAAACTCGCCTCTCACGTCGGGCTACTAAAGTTGGTTCGTGAAGCTGGAGTAGCATACATCTCAAAAGGACGTTAGGCTGATGGTCCGAGCGATTGAAGCTGCAGGAGCACACTGACATGCTCAGTTATCCTGATCAAGCTTAGTAATTCTCCCTACTTGGTATGCACAGGGTATGTGAACCTGCAGGAAGTCAACGTGCACCGAAACCCTACAACCCAAAATCCCAAGCGATTCGGCGGTAGCCTCAGCCGGATGTCGAAACCTGCAACCCTGAAGCAGGTAGAGATGGAGCACCCGGATGGGACCTTCGACATCGGCTGGTTTGACCAAGCGGGCAGCAAACAGCAGGCCACCGCTGCACCTTGCTTGAAACGTTAGCTTGAGGGCGGCGCGCTTTAATGGGAGTTTCTGAATATCCGGGTTCGTGGCAGCAAACGTTGGAGATCAGAAAACCAGCACGGGCTGCTGTCATGAGGATGCTTACAGCCTTGATTGTTTCCAGGGGCTCTCAAACAGAGTGCTCTACATGCACGATTTCGGGTGCTCCTCGCTCTGCAACAGGCGCAAGGAGCATGTTGATGTGAGACCTGCTGAGAAATGTTCAAAAATCACAAAGGGTCCACACAAGGAGGCTATGCAACTGGACCTGTGAAGCCCCAACCATTCATTTGTGATGAGTTTTAAGATATTATACAACTAGGAAACCCTGTCCATCCGAAAGCCTGAATCCTGAGCGAAGCGGCAGTAAGGTTCCCGGAGCATCGCTGGAGCCCTACATGCCGGCCCTGCAAGCAAGCGCGTTGCTGCAGGATGTTTTCAGAGACTTAGCTTAAAGCATGGGGTTTGTTTGGAGAGAGGCCTCATGCATCCCTCGGAGTGCTTCACAGAGCTGAGGCAAAGTCGCGGGCCAAGTGCCTCCATCACTGGAGCGATGGTCCAGCATGGACATCGGAAGGGGCGATATCCAGCGAGCTGCTGTCACGTGTCTGGACGGCCACGCACTGGTGCGGTCCCAGCCAAGTTACTGGTCATCGTCTGTGCAGTGTCGTTTCTGCCTAGATGCCATACCTGCAGGGCAGGTGCGAATGCACTGCTACAGCTGCAACTATTCTCTATGCGGGAAGTGCTTCCTGCAAAACCAGAATCCCCACGTCGGTCAGAACCCGGCCGGATTTGAGGAGATCCGTCATTCCTTGGCGATTTGGCCAAGATGTGATAACGGACACAGCCTCGAGCGCTTTGGGGGCGGAACTGCCGATGGGGGTGCCAGCTGCAGTTCTTGCAGCCAGCCTGAGATCGGTAGCACTGGCCGGTGCCTCAGAGCTGCGGAAGGTCCGAAGCATTCCTGGAAAATAAAATCTTAGCAGCTGCCGTTTGTGGCAAAGCAATGCTGCAGCGTGCAAAGCTCTTGTTTGAGCGCTTCAGGGCTGTTCTGTTTTTGCTTGAAGCTCTGGGGCTAAAGGTTTACCCTGGATGCCTGTTCAGGTCCCTTCTTCCTGATTTGTCGGTTTTGTCAGCAGCAGCTTTGCCACGACTGTTCCCGAAGATCCCTCTGCACTCTTCTGGATGTGCCTCGGTCTGGTTTGAATGCCGAAATTGCTTGCGCATGGTTTCACAAATCCGTGGGCACGCCTCGAGTCGCAAACCCTCGGCGACACCAAAATCCGCCGACCGGTTCTAAGGAGTCCCAAGCTGTTTTTGCTTGTTTCAGATCTTGAGATTTGGTTCTAGAAGACCTCCGATGGCTGGCCATACGCTCACCGTGCGTATGGCCACTTCTTCAGGACCCGAGGCATCAAGCCCTAAACTAGCTTAAAGTCCTAGACCCCGAGCACCAAGCCCCAAACCAGAAACTCAGAACCCCGAAATATTTGGAGACCCTGGACATGAATCCAAAACGGGTTAAAGGTTCATACTCCATATAAGGGTTCATAGTATAAGGGCATAGCGCCCCGACTCCCCTACTTTTAAGGGTCATTTGGTCGTTAAGGAAAGCCCGGTTTGAGAACCTTACATAAGGCAAACCCTAAACCCTAAATCCCTAAACCCCTAAACCCCTAAACCCTAAGCTCCTAAACCCTAAACCCCTAAACCCCTAAACGGCCCTAAACCCTAAACCCTACATTGGCCCGAGATAAGGCTGCCTACGAGCCTCGAGTGGCCCGGGCAGACGCCGTCGACTCCGATGCTGTTCGCCGCCTCTTCGCTGCCCAGGGCCGAAGAAAAAAGATCCCTGCAGGGTTTATAGGGCCTGTTTAGGGCCTGTTTGGGGGGTTGAGGGTTTCGGCGGTTTAGGAGGTCTTCTTTTGGTTCGGGTTTCAGGGTTTAGGGTTAGCTCGCTCCTGGGGTGTGGAGTCTTGGCTTGGGCTTTCCGTTGTTTCGGGCAAGGAGTTCGGTGTCGAGGATGAAGCTTACCTCAATGATGCTCATGATCCAGCGAGGAGGTCAACAATTAATATGTGGCCTTCTGCAGGGCTTCTGATCCGGATGTCGGGAGTGCGGCAACCGCATTTCACCTGCCCTTTTCATTGTTCAGAGTTTCAGAGTAGCTGACAGTTTTCAGGCATTGGTCCTGGTTTCATGATGGTGGTTTTGAAGGTTTGGGATGTTTGCCAGATTGTTCCCTGCCGCAGCATTGGCTATGCCACTCCTACGAGTGATTTTATGATCATGCCTGTGTTCGTCCTTGACAGCCCTACCTTTGCGCCCCGAAATGGCCGCACACCCGCCGAAATAAGAGGAAACCGAAGGCTGGTGGTAGCCTATGCAAAGGTACTCGTTTGTCTCAGTTTCCTGGATTAGATCTGTAGGGCTGAAGCGTTCAAATGAAATGCTTGGGGTAGCCCTGGGTTGGGAGTTGTTGTCAAAGTAAATCAGGAGCAACGTCATACATCACGAAGTGCAGATATACTGAAGGACTTACAGTTACAGTCTTATAGGCAGTTCGATTCCAGATATTTGAATACCGTGGAGTCTCGCTGTAACGCGCCTTGAGCCAGCCTCAGTAGTTTATAAGGGGCACGACTCCAACTCCAGTTTCAGTCCCTTTACACAGCCAGGGCATAGGTTTCTCCCCGGTTGCACCATGCAATCCAGCACCTGCGAGACTATTCTCGACGCGTGTCCGTTGCAGGACCCTGTGGCATCGCAACGATGCCGGCCACCAAGATATTCTTGGATTTCAGACGTGCCCCTTGGGTTCAATCAGTGGCTGAAGAGCAGCCTCACGGAAACTGTGAGCTACAACTCCAGGAGCTTGATAGTGTTGTTCGAGCCAGCATGGAGGTCACGTGGCTCTAGTGAGAACCCTAGCATGTTGATTTCCGCAGAAGGTTACTGCAGCTCGCATAGCTCATGTGGTCAAGTCAGATCTGAGTTCGAACGAAATCCCGTTGTCAGTTCTATGGTTTGCGATATAGCGTATAGAGATAGAGACAGAGATATGCTTTCAGATGCTTGGCCGCCGTTCGCTTGGAGAAACAACGAACAAAGAGACAGTGAAAAACAAGGATAGGGTTATTGCTAGCAGGACTGCCGGGATGATGACGCAGGCGGTGGTGTGTGGAACGGGCGCGGCAGGATGAACGTTTTTTTAGGGAGACGGGCGGATGAGGACACAGGGACAGGGCGGCATGGGGATTCAGGGAAAGACACTATGGCGCCCAGCGGCGGAAACCATCGGCTTCACATAGCCATCTTGCAGGATCTTGCAGGTACATCGCAGACACCTCTGGCTTCGAGGGACTCCATCCAACTCGAAGCTCCAGGTGACAACCCAAAGGCCAGGTTAATCTATCCTGATCCTATTCCTCAGGGTCATGCCCTCCCTTGAATCCGAGTGATCATGCTGATTCAAGGCCGCTGTCCATTGCAGACCCTCGAAAAGGAGGTGTTCCCGGAGCAGAAAGCTCAGCACACGATTACAGCCACAAGCATGATTGATGATGACGGTTGATGGCAGCAGACTTACGTCATCGGCCATGCAATTGGCTGAAACGGACGCTGCTACTGCAAGCAAAGCTGTTTTGTAGAGGTCAGGCTTGAAAGTCTTCCGCGCAGTATTGCCAGGGATGTGGCCAAGCGAGCTCTGACCCACACTCTTTTCAAATTCCAGATACTCCTACAATCGCACTGTCCAAATACGCATACTTTGGGGTACTCGTCACAGGCATCAAGTTCTGCCGCTCCCGCTGCAAGCGGCTTTGTTTACACGGATACTTTCCACACGTTCGCAAGGTGAAGCACTAGAGACCGAGGTCAGCAACCACCACCCCGACAAGCAGGGCAGTGTGTCCAAGGCTCGGCAGGCTCTGGGCCCCAGAAAGGGAGACTTCATGACTGTTGACTTCTTCACTGGGTGTTCTTGTGATGCTGAGTCGTATGGCTCGGGATCGACTCAGAGCTTGCGTTGGCTGCAGAGGTCAGAAGGACACAGCGACACGACTGGTCTGAACGCATCGTTGTGGGTTGAGGCTTGCTCTCTCTGTTTGCTGGAGCAGATGAGATCACCCAGCTCGTCACCCCTTTCAAGAAAAGCAGTGGGAGATTGCTTTGGCTCTGTTTCTTGCTTTGGCTTGGTCCTCGCAGTGCAACGGCCAAGGCAATTTCGTCAGACCGCGGTTCGGGACTGAGGTCAAGGACAACTTCGTCAACAGAGTTGCCGAGAAGTGTGGGGCCGCCGTTGTGCGCATCCAGACGGAGCAGAAGGCCGCTGGAGACGAAGAGTTCTTCAGGTCGATAGTTACTGATGCTACGGTCTACTACCACCACGACGACAACTACTACTCCTCCTGCTGCTCTTCTCGCTGCTGCTGCTGGTACTACTTATTATACTACTGCTGCTGCTGCCGCTGCTGCTACTGCTCCAATGCTTCTGCTGCTGCTGCTGCTGCTGCTACTGCTACTGCTGCTGCTTCTACTACTCCTAATGCTACTGCTAATACTACTTCTACCACTACTACTACTCCTCCTCCTCCTAATGCTGCTACTGCTGCTGCTGCTGCTGCTGCTACTACTACGACCACCACCACCACCACCACTACTACCACAACTAGCACTACTACCACCTGCTACAGCAATTGCTGCTGACTATGACTACTATTTCTGCCATTCCTTCAAAATGCACTTTTCGATCAATTGAAATTTGCAACAGTAAGAAGAATCGCTGCAGAAGCAACATTAGTCGACACATGTTACCTGTTTGTTTGATAGTCGTGTTAATTCTACCACACAGCTACTACTGTTTCAGCAACCACAGCAGGGGCATGTCGTGGGGATTATTGGTGTTTGCGGGACGCTTTTCTTTTATCCATCACCGCACCTTTCTGTGACCTGTAGGTTCGGAACATATGTCTTTGCGACATAGGACGCTGTCAGAAAAGTTCTGTTTCTGCACTCCGTGCAAGTTGACTGCGGCAGGTGGAGATTCCTTCCATCGGGAACGCAGACATCTTCTCCTTCTTCTTTGGAATCAAACCCGAGATCAATCAGCAGGATTCTGTCGTATGCTTCGTGGTGACACAGCAATGACCGGACGTCGTTCGAACTGTTACAAAGCCAGGGAAGCTCGTCGAGCTAAAAGCCTAGAAGTTCGGATTGACCCGAAAAGCCGCCCTGCACAGCCGGAGGAGCGGAAGATCAAAGGCCAAGGCTCCGGATTCTGTGTCGATGGCGCGGTGGGCGTGGTGTTGCTGGCAGAGTTTCTGCGGAGCTTCAGTGCGAATACCTGCCTTGAGAAGTGGTTGTTCATGCAGAAGCATTGAGATCGATAGTCCGAAGGCAGTCGACATGTGATGTTTGAGGTTTCGCGAAGTGCCACAACTCTGAAGTTCGACTTGATCTTAAACAAGACGCGCAGGGTTTTGGCTCGGAGTCCTTTGCGCCAAACATGTGGCTGCGGGGATTGACCTTCTTATATGGTTGCAATTGAATTGTTGTGCCACGGCGGAAACTGTTGCCCATGACAAACATCAGTATAGCCCCTAGGTAACTTTGGTGATTGCGGTTCAATTGTAAACGGCAGCGTGCCTACGAGTTCATGTCACATTCACATTCACGGCAAACCCAACTTCACAAAGCTCTGCGACAATGGGGTAAGGTTTACCTAATGAAAGCCAACAGCTTACGACAGTGACGTTTGGAGAAGCCGGTCCTGGTCGAGGTGCTGGAGAATGGAGGCTGAGGCACCTGGCATAATTACATTGGGATTTGGCTTAAGGCTCGGCTTTTAGCAGCAGCAGTTTCGGATTATTTGCTTCTGGCCCCTGTGCCTGAGCCGGTCATAGATGAGCATTCATGACGACAAGCATATCATAACCTTATCACACGTTGTGCTTGTGCGAGCTGCCTCCCAGGTTTTGGGCAATGTCGCCAACAAGGTTCTTAACATCAGATGAGCGGTATTGTTGTTCTGTTCGTTCAACATAGGGTTCTGCAGGTCTAGAGAACGGGGGTTCGGCGGCGATGCTAAAAGTTCTTGTGAACAAGACTACAACGAACGATTATTCCTGTGTTACGTTCTGCTGAACTGCAACATTGTAAAATGACACTGTCAAGATTATTGCTATGTTTGGCATGATTCAGCTTGCGCCAGCTCGGCAGCAAGGTCGAAGGTTTGTTGGGCGTCCATCGGGTTGTGTTGCATCCACGGTGTTGGGTACAAGCCGTTTGAGTGTGACAAGGGGCTGTCGACTAGGACAGCTACTTATTGAAGTTGGTTTACATTAAATTTGCATACTTACCTGTTTTCTCGTTTGATTCAGGTTTTGTGCGACAAACAACCAGAGCATCAATACAACGTAAAGCCCATCGTACGGGATCACGGGGTCTGCTTTGCTGTTATTGCTGCCACGACAGTCGCTCTGATTGCTATTGCTGCCCCAACTTTTACAGTCGTCTCGGCTTTCTCCGCCTGATCTGTGTTCTTGTCAGGATTAGTTGTATTGCCATTGATCTGGCGATTAGTAGTGCCTGCACAGAGATCGCAAGTGTCTCCACTCCACTACTGCACCGCCATCGCAAGCACATGGGCATTGGCTTGGCGCGGGTTGCCCCAAAACTGTCCCAAAGCCGACGTAGCGGCCTGGACGGCAAGTTGCGAGCCGTGCAGACGGGTTGTCAAGCCCTAAGCCAGGCAATCCGCCACAGGTCTGCACTAGGGGAAAACGAAGATTTGCGCTGTTGTGTAAGAGACATGCTTACACATCTGCAGAACTGCTGCAAGGGCCCGTCAGTCCGAGCAGGTCCTGGCGGCAATCTTGGTTTCGGTGCTCCTTGTTGTGCTGGTGCTGCTGTGGCTGCTGATCTTCTTCTCAGGCCGGTGCACGAGGGGGGGGCTCAACCTCGGAGGCCTTATAAGGTTTAGAGAGATATTTTTACCCTCCATTCTGGTCTCGGTATGTAGATCGACGTACAGGTACCAATGTTTTGCTACTGCTAGTGGTAGTACTAGTATCAGTACTTGGAGTAGTACTTGTCGTGATGCTGCGGCGGCTTCTGCTGCTGCTGTTGCTGCTCGTTTTCCTTGTGTTAATCAAGGGTTCAGGGTGCTTCGGAGCCACCAACAGCAGTTGCTACAACATAGATGATAGGTAGATACAAAAATGCTGATGGTGCGAGAGATCTTAAGTCCCTTCTGCTCAGAGGCTTCGACCTCCACCCTAAGCCCTCTATAGGCCCAATTTACGGCATCCAGACGAGCCGCAGACTTCATGCCCAGTCGCTTCCCTGCACGAACTTGACGTCCTCAACCCCACTCTATGCTAAGTTCAACCCCGTCGACGGGTTCTGTTGCTTCCCTTTACTACTCGTAGCTCAACTGCTAGTACTAATTCGCACGCTCCGAGGCTGTTGGAAGCGCGGGGCCGCAAAATCGCACACCGGAACAATGTTTCGGTGTGTACATGTACATCATGCAGACAAAGCTCTGCAAACAAAAATGATGCTTTCCACGTTTGCGCATGCTCGCGCCCAAGCGCATTCAGGCGAGAAGGCGTAAGCATTCCAAAGCTAAGTCGCACCAATTCTGCACGCAATTTGCCATTGAACAACAAGGTGCCCGCTTCAGAAAAGTAATCGAACGCCAGCAAGGAAACCACCGTAAATGCCGATGAGTTCGGTTATTAAAAGAAACGAAAACACACGAGAAAACAACACGTAACAAAAACACGCGTGTCCGTTCGTTGACCACGGAAATCACAGTACATGCCGATGTCGACGGCTGTTGCAGTTTTGCGCGATTTCATTGCGCCGGAGTATAGTTGTATTAGTACCAGATCATTACTGGCATTATCACCAATGAGTTCTAATGCCGGACCTTGCTGCACATGCACCAACTCAGCCGCTGGCAAGCTCTTCTCAGGCTTTGGGCCCACGAAGCTTCACAGTTGGCAATCCCGCACCATCCGCCTGTGCAAAAAGCGCAAGAGTTCGGGCCTCAGTTGCTGCAACACGCATCTTCAAAGCAGTGCTATATGTGACCACAACGTAGATCGCCGCAAGCCCACCCGTGGCAAGTGCCGCTTTCTTGATGTAAGGGTGGAGTTGGACGAAGATAGAGGAGGGGCTTTTTCTTGGAAGCGTCCCACGCAGCCAAGATCATTTAATTGAGCTGTCGCTTGGCATGCAGTGAGTTTGAGTAGCTTCGTGTCACCGTTTCGATTGAAAGCTTGAGGACTTCGACGATCTGGATTCTTGCACCGGCAATCCTAATCCAAGCGTTTCAACACAGAACGACTGTAGCCCAAGCGCCTGTGTAGACATGAATTCTCAAGATCTCAAGCGTCCACCACCCCCGGCTGCCTTGAAATTGAGCCCAGGCAGGGCGAGAAGGTGGCTTGGCAAGAGCTGTTCAGCCGTAATTTCTCACGACACTCACTAAACCCTGAAGCTCTGCTTGTTGAGGTTTCATTGGTACTGCTGTAATCTTGGCTCTTTTCAAACTAATACAATCCTAGCCCTCCCCCCAAGTTTTTAATTTTTTGATTGTTGTTAATTGACTTTCAAATGTGGGCCCGAAACCGCGAAATCCCGATGCCGGGAGATTCTTTATATTAGGGGGGTTTAATGTTAGTGGGAGCGATTACTATTGCTTAACCATTGCTAGTACTCAACAAATACCCAGACTATTTCATGGAGGCCGCCCCCGGGCATCACGTTGGTGAAGAGGCTGGCATTTGTTTTGGGGGGCACACTGCTGTCGTCTTCCTGTTTACTCTCTTGTTTCGAGGCCTGCTTTCAGAAACTGCTCCCGTAGCCCTGAGCCACAAGACTCTGCAGCCCCAAAGCCTGAACCCTCAAAGTCCAAATCCTAAAACCCGAAACCCTAAGCCCTAAACCCTAAAACCTGCAATTATTAGTCCTTAAGGTTGGCGCCATCGTGACGCTGAACGAAGCCTGGGAGCTGCCCGTGTCCTGTGCGAGCATGGAGGCCGGCGCCGGAGTCTTCGGCTTTCATGGGAAGCACCGATCCTTCATGATCCATTAGGGTCTAGGGTCCCTAAACCCTAAACCCTAAACCCATCTCATGATCCATTAGGGTTTAGGGTTGGTCTCATGGTCCATATGAAGCCGCCCAGATGTCGAGAACCCCGAAAAAGTCTTCGGCCTTTGCACTCTTTTAAGGGCTTCTGTGGAGCCTTGGGAAGTGGTGGTAGGGAGGGAAGTGGGTAGAAGTAGCCTCGGAAGAACATTGCGGAGATTGGTTCTTGCTCCGACACCACCTGACCCTTCACCGGAATCCAAAGACGGCATTTGTTGATTCAGTGTTGATGTCTGGACTCACAATACTAAGGAGAGAACTCGAGTATTGTAAGAACGGCTGTGACCTGTGAACACCGAATAGGAGTTTGGCATGAAGCACCTGCATCTTCCGACGCCAGAGACTTGCAAGCATTTTCAAGGACTGATACGTCTGGTACGGAGCCAGGGGGTCCATTGAAGCTGGGAAACAAGTGGCAACTTCCGCAATCATAGCTGCTATAGCTAAAGCCATAAGGAGAAGGACGCAGAATGTTACAAAGCGTCAGTACGAATGACAAGAATTGCGAAAGCAGTACCAAGCAGATAGATTGCTAAGCATTCTGGAAGGCGCATGGGTGCTTCCCAAGTCCTGATTGGTGCTTGACAATCAATCCACAGCCACCGATCGACATCTGACTCAGCTATGGCAAACAACTGACAATCGTGACCTTCGTTTTGACAGCCGTTGAAGGTCGTCATCGCGCCGTGCTATGACTGCTATTAGTGTGTTTGGTAGTGAGTCTTTTTGGGCTCCTCGCGTTGTTATTCGTGTTAGGAACCGTTGCTGCTGAAACGTTTCGTTGTTGCTGCTAGTGATGGTTTTTATCCCTGCGTTGTATAGCATGAGCAGATGTGAATTACATGGCCTGGGCCCAACTGCGAAAAGGAATCCAAGTCTGTTCCCATGCCGGTGTTTCTGCCGCGGATGTTTTGCAGTTCTTGCATGCATGCAGCACCGATGCCATGTTTAGCGTCCCTTAGCAGTTTTGCTGTTGCTGCCACCTGCAACCATCAATGCCGTCGCATCAAAGTCTTACTTTTGTTGGTGTTTTAGATACCTCTAGATTCGTACCTATGCTGCTGCTAGTGCATGTGCTGCCATCGTGTTGTCATCATTGCTGCGGCAGCCATAGATCCCAAAGTTCTACAACCTCCAGCTGCAAGGGCCTAAAGCCCCAAGCACTAAACCCAATTGTGTAAGCCGTAACGACCTCCATGGCCTGGAAGCTAAGGACTTCTTTGCTCCGTGCCTGGATGACATTACCAAGGCCAGCAAAGGGTTCGGAAGTGCTCCCCACTACTGTACAATTGCTGGTCAAGAAGGACGAAGGGCTTCAAGCCCATACGGTATGTGTTCCATGGCTATTCCGTAGCCGTGATTACTCTTTTCCATGCTTGGGCTATGCTTGGCGATGTTCTTGAATGGTCTTGCAAAGGAGCTGGAGGGACAGACGGGTTTGGGCTAGCCGATCCCCACGGACCCTAAACTCTAGACGTGCTGCAGGCTGTCGACTTCATCACAGAGTGCCGGCAGCAGGGCATCGGCGTTTATGACCCTCGGATGCAGCACTTGGTTCGGGGTTTCAGTCCGTGCTGTGTTTCTTGATGCAAGGATCTTGGTTCGGGGTCTGTGGTTCTCAAAACGCCTTAAAACAAGACCAGGTATCCGACAAGGGCATAGGACTGGTTCGCCTGTGTGCTGAGGGTTGCTTCCTTCCTAAAATCTCCACTGCAACACGCCCACAAAAAGCCTTCCTGTGCTGTTTGATGTGGAGCTTCCAGAGTATTCTGCCATCGTTGGAAACATCCTGGATTCTGGATGACTTTGTACTGCTTCTTGCTCTTTGGGAATCGCAGTTGATGGAACTCGGCAAGGTCCACTGCAATGGAGGCCGGGACCGAGCCCCGAGAGTGACGCTCATGGAAAGCGGTACTTCTGTAAGTCCAAACAGTGCACCAACATGAAAACTGTTCCATGAAATTGAGAGCGGACGTTAGCCTTTCAGGCAGGGGTCGGAGCGCTGTGTGCGTTCTTTGTTACCTGATCAAGAGACTCGCCGGCAATCAGCATATCAGAAGATGCTAAGATACTCCTGTCGATAACAGCATCCACAGTACAGCTACTGCAGGTAAACACTGCCAGGTTGCGTGAGACGTGCACTGAAAATAAGAGAACGGCAGAGCATCGGTCCGACCACTCGCACAGGTCTTACACCAGTCGTCTTCACATAGCATTGAGTAATCTTCAGTAGTTGTCAATTTGAAACGTTATCTGAACTGCTGAGGACTGGCTGGCCCGCAATGAAGGAGGGAGCGGACTCTCTAGTTTACCAATGTGTACCATCTCTCCGGTGATTGGCTGCGCAATCCAATCCAAGTCAGAAGTCACTCGCCTGTTTTGCTGCCCGAAATATACATAGACCGAAGTGCGCTCATGCCAGCTATGCAGGCCTTCCAGCACGTCAAGTCCAAGCGCAATATTGCAACTTGACGTTCACGTGATATCCCCGATTGTTTGCCAGGTTGCTTGTGCCACTTTCCGGCCAGGTTGCTTGCGACACTTTGTGGAGCTGCTTGATGTTCCGGATCGACCCATTTGTATCATAGTTTGTACTAATTATTACGGCAAGCAGAAGCATGACTGCTCTTGAGATCCAGTTCGGATGCAAGGCCCTGAAAACCCCGAAGCACAATCCACCGAGCATTAAATGCTGAGGCAAACATGCTGTTTCTGGGTGGCCGATTCCACAAACAGTGGCGAGCCGTCGGGATCTTAGCTACATCAACAAAGAGCTGTCCTTGATGCTTCAGAACAGCCTGACAGCAAACTGGTGACAGTTCTTGAAGACCCGAGGAACCTGGAGACCACGTTCCATTTCCCAAAGCTCCAAACATTCAAGAACTTAGCATCCGACCCATTGCAAGCGTAGATCTTCAAACCCCAACATCGTCAAACTTCATTCCCGAGCTTCCATGCACAAGGCCCTTCAAAGCCTGACTGCCATGTTCTCGGTACTATTCCTTTTTTGCTGGTGATTCTTCGATCTCGGAGGTCCTGAGCTGGCAGCGCCGAGAGCTTGGTGGCCCGACGAGGGCCCAGGGCCGCAAGGTGGCCCCCGCGGACGCCGTCAAGGAGCCCGCCTAGGGCCTCTCTCGGGCCTCTACCCGTGGCTGACAGAGACGAGGCTAGGGCGAAAGGACACGGGCTGAGAGAGAGTTGGTGAGCATGCTGTATGGAGCTAGAGAGATTCTGAGGTACAGACAAAAAGACAAACGCCCACCAGATGTAGGGGCCCAAAGTTTTGCAGAGTCAAGCGCAAGAGATGGGCTGTTTTCGACCGTGAGAGTCAAGTGTAACAGCTGGATCAGACCTTCGTCAGAAAGTGCCTGGCGGGCCCCGGTCGGATGAATTCATCATGTTGCAAGTGCACACCTGACCACGTGCAGCTGTCCAATCGACACGCGCAAGGGCCAATTAGCAGAGGCATCGAACGATGCCTGCAGTGATGAGTACCTTTGGACAACTTGCCCCGAAGACGCAGCTATGAGAAGTCCTGAGCCACACTGCTGAGAAATCGGATTTGCGGACCGTTTCGGAGCGGGTCCTAAGGTAGAGGCTTCTCTGTCGATGGCAGAGTCATGCTTTCGAATTTGAGCCAAAGAGAACCCCGAACGCAAGAACCCTCAAACTAAAACCGTGAAGCCCCACAGTCGAAGCTTTCGACTTTGTGAAGCCTCCTTGACTGTAGAGGCGCCCCGAGGTCCCGACACAATGCCTGGGAACCCAATGGGGCTAATTATATTGGTGCTATAGATCACAGTTTTATCTGAGTGAGGCAAGAATATGCGTATTGCACCTTCTGTATCTTCAAGCAGCACTGTCTTGCGATTTTCGTGTCTAGCAGTCATCGTTTCTGTTGCTGCTCCGACGGCGACTACTGCGACGATAACCACAACTAGAGCAGCAACAACTACAACCACCATTGCCTATTGCTGCTATTCGTCTTAGCACGGCGACCAGTAGTGCTGCTTCTCCGATCAACTTTTCAATCCGGCTCCGCCTCAGGCAACACGGGGCCCGCATACTTTTCAAGAAAAGAGGCGGTCGTTGCAGCTCTAACTGCAAGTTCGGATTTGGTGATTCAGGGGCTCTGCGCTGGTCGTGAGCCTGCAGAAAGTCAATACGATCATGCCATCCAGAACTGATGGATTCAAGCAACCTGTCCTTTTGATGCTACGTAGAAGAAGGTTGACGTCATGACTCGCATTGGAGCTGCTTCCAAAGAGGACCCACAGCCTGGTATGGCTTCTTGCGCCACGGCTGGTAGGGCGACATGCATCTCTAAGCAGGTGTCCTTCTCGGAGTCCTCCTTATGGAGTTTGTAAGACATTCATTTTGCGATGGTGCTGCTCGAAACTGTGGTGGCGCAGCTTGTTCGTTGGGTCTGTGTTCGCTTGTTTGTGTTTGGTTCATTGGTTGCTCGTTTGTCTTTGCACGTGCGTGTGTGTGTGTGTGTGTCTCTGTGTGTGTGTGTGTTCTAGCCTGCTCTTGGTTGCTTGTTTGGTGCTTGAAAGCTTTTCGGAGACATTGCCAGGTTCTGACGAATGCCCATGTGGTCCAGGGAGCAGACAGGACATTTCTGTCGCTTCCGTCTGTTGCATGCTGTGCAGCAACACCAAACATCACCACAATCAACGACAGGCAAGCCTGAAGATAAGCATGCATAGTCGGGTTCTGCTGGATGCTTGGAGCCACTACGACGTGACTACGCTGATGGCTGAGATATAAAATGTGTATACATAGACCAGAAGAAGATGCGCCTGCTCTCCTGCGAAGTTGTGGGTAGGGCCCTGGGAGAATCAACTCAAGCATCTTCAGCGGCCTCTTGAATCGAGCTGCAACTCTTTTTGTGGAGATCCGGAGGATTCTGGCCAGCTTCCCTGGGAGACGAGAGCAGGGCTCAGCGGTTTGAGGTTAAGGGTATAGGCCCTAAGCCCTAACCCTAAAAGTCTTAAACCCCTCAGATGCAGCTCTTGGTTTCTATTTCGATTCAGAAGGAAAGGCTCTCGATTGACTCAAGCCTCTAGGTCGGTTCTGGCGCATGGAGTGCATGGATACAGTACCCCAGAGTGCCAAAGACCCTTGCTCGCAAAACTTTTTACTATTGGCCAAAGTCCACTGCTACAGTGGCACGCTCTGGGGTCCTCCCTAAACGGCCACGAAGAGAGTCGCGAGGATGTTGATACGCTTGATAAGGGCTTTCCGACAGTCTCAGGATGCAGAAGCAAGGTCGTTGGAACAGCGAGCTGGAACCAGACCCAACACCCTGAACCCACCAAATGGACGGCAGGCGTGAACCGTGCAAGGAACAAACCCTCCCAAGACAAAGTTCAAAGCGGAGACTGCATGCGAGGCCGCCATCGAATGTGAGATCCTTGAGACTGATGAGGCACGCCAAAGCTTGCAGATTGGTGAAAAAACGCGCTTTCTGACTCTGCCTGACCCTTATCTCTCTTGCTTTGACCTGACCCTTATCTCTCTTGCTTTGACTGCTGATGGTCACTAGCACCAGATGGAAATATGAAAATGACTACGTGCATATGAAATCCGTGTACAGTTTACAGATACAATTGCTTCCATTCGGTTCGTTGTGAGGTCATCGATCTGGCGGCTTTGCGCGTGAAGGACGAATTTCAAGGGTTAAGCCTCAGAGAGAGCTTTTCCAGCATCAGCCCCAACAGTACATGAGCCGCTTTCAGCAGAAGTTCCTCCAAGCTCATTGCACACCCATGCCATGTCGACCGGAATTCAAGACAGGCTTGATTCAAATAGTCCTCACACTCTCTGCAAGGCTTGGGTTGGCTTCGCTGGTAGTGCTGGTGCTGGTGCTGGTGCTGGTGCCTGGTGGTGGTGGTGGTGGTGGTGGTGGTGGTGGTGGTTGTGGTGGTGGTGGTGGTGGTTGTGGTGGTAGTAGTGGTGGTAACGGTAGCGGTAGCGGCAGCGGTAGCGGTAGCGGTAGCGGGTAGCGGTAGTGGCAGTGGCAGTGGCAGTGGTAGCCGTCGTCGTCGTCGTCGTAGTAGCAGTAGTAGTAGGAGTAGCAGCAGCAGCAGCAGCAGCAGCAGCAGTAGTAGTAGTAGTCGTCGTCGTAGTCGTAGTAGTCGTAGTAGTAGTAGGCGGCGCCCGACCTGCTCCTGTGACCCCTCTCTCTTCTCTTTCTCAGTGGTAGGACCAGGAGCAAGAGCACGAGCCGTGGTAGAGGATCAAGTGGTACTGAAAGTGTTTTTACAAGTATAATCACTACAGGCACATCACACACCAATGGGCCAAAGTTTCACCGCATGCACCATGATCGTCTTCTTCTTCTTCTTATTCCTATTTGTTTTAGAATTGTATTATCACTTTTACGGCTCTGCCTCGAAGCGCCGGACTTCCGGGTCCACGGTTTGTTTTGGAGTCAGTGGGGCCATCTGAGGCAAATTGAATTGGCAGGACAAGTCCCAGCTCCCACTGCCTTCCATGGCGCTGGGGGCCAGCGAGACGGTCAAGACCGGTGACTGGACCATCGTCCTCGGCCACTTAGCATCAAATTCATTAGCTGCTATATTCGCTGTTGGAATTCCTTTCAATTACTGACTGGACGGCAGAGTGGCCATGTGAGTTCCCCTTTGCCGTAGCGGATGCAGTCTATGCTCCTCGTATTTAATCCATGAATGCATTGCTCGGGGTTTGGATCCCCCGAGGGCTATGCACAATGGAGGGTGTGGCTTTACGTGCCTTTATTTGTCTTTGTTTGTCTTTATGTGGTTATGTGTCTTTGTTTATCATTAGTTGTCTCTCTTTGTCTTTGCTTGTTTTTATTCCTCTTTGCTAGTCTTTTAAGCCAGTTTACAATTCCTAATGTACATTCTTTTTCTTTTAAAAGCCTTGCGAATTATGTTTTGTCCTGAAATTGTCTTCAGTTGCTTTTTCAGAAGCCCTTAACATCTAAATATATCTTATTTGTGTCTTCAAATATCTTATTGATTTATATCAACTCCTGAGAGGTCTAAACCCCGAGGAATGGATGCATGGATTTCATACAGCGATATGTCGAGATCGATCGCCAACTCCGTGCTTTTTCAGCTGCACTCCTTTTCGGGTGTTCAGTCAGCTTTTCAGTCGCTACATGCCTGACAACATGCAAACAACGGCTACAAAGGAAATCCGCTGGGCTTGCAGAATACGTGCCTGCCCAAGAAGATGAGCGAGTGGCGTTCTGAAGTTCAGCATGGTGTTGAACCTGGGAATAAACGGATTGGAAGGCTGCAGTCGTGAAGCTGTGTGTTTCTGGACCGTAGAATTCTACAATGCCTGATGGTTAGCATGGAGTAGAGGTAGCTTGCGTTGAAGCCAGAACCAGGACCATGGTTTCCTGGAATGTAGGACACCGACACCCGGACCCCAACAGGGACCCCACAGACGGACTCCTTTTGCTGCCAGAAAAACAAAGGCCTCCCAGCAAACAGCTGACCTAGCTAAACCGGGCTCCGGGTGAAACCTTCTTGCCTTGACAGCTCCTTCTTCAAGATGAAGCTTTCAAGCCCCCAGAGTCCCAGAGACGGTCGTTTTCGCAGGTGCACCTTGGGCATCGTATCTTCACTTGAGCGCTCCACTGGGGAGACGGGCTCCAGCCTCACCAGACGGAAGCGGCACGGACTCTTAATTCGAGCAAAACAGGATGATCAAGCACTGGCAGCCGGCTTCATACACCCACTTCATACATTTGACTTGTTTGGCTGATGTCCTTAGAGGCGCTGGCAAAAACTAAGCTGCAGGTGATTCTGCAGCGGCTTACTTATAATATATGCTCAGCTCCTGTGGAGGTGAGCGCAAACGGCCCCCGCGCAATCAGGTCCTTCGTGCTGCTGAAGAAACATCAGCGACCTGCTAGCTCGAACTTCTTGTCCGGAGGACACGGAAACTTCTACTTCGAAACAGCACTCTCCTGCCTCTGTCTATCTACCGAAACGTATCTCAATTTAGTTCCTCCTATCTCTCTCTCTCTCTCTCTCTTTTTCTTCTTCTTCCGCAGGGCATAAATAAGGGGCCACTGGAGCCCCCCATTCTTCTTTTGTTGCTTCTCTCTCTCTCTCTCTCTCTCTCTGACTCCATCCATCCACCAGGCACTCACATCCAGTACGTGCTTGTCTACTTGTCCCGGTGCAAAGCTTAAAACTGTAAAATATACGAACCAAAGCCGACAATATTCAGTGACAAAGGTTGGGATAGACCAGGAAGATTGGTATAGTGTGCACACGCAATTGTAATGGACGCGACAATTGTATGGTTGGGCATTCGCACAAACATAGACATATCATGAACACAATATCTCCGAAGTAAGACTAACTCCAAGCATGCCAATTCCACACCCGCTTAGACTTCATGGAAGTGCCATTCGAAATCGGTGGCTGAGGCCACAAATCCCAGAGCATCCGAGTCTTCAAAGATTAGATTTCGCTTGCTCATGCAGGCCAAGAATCTTTCCCGAATGTCACAGTCAAGACCGGACGCGGACTGCGAAACACCTGAAAGAAAGCCCTGAAACCCACAACTACGGAAGCCCCAAAGCCATTCAACTGCAGTCCTGAAGCGGAAGATCCGAGCTCCACTGCAAAAATCACAGTCCACGAGAAAGTAGAGAGCATACCGTGCGAACCTTTGCAAGGTTTCGACTGGATGAGACACCCACTCATCCAGACCGACGCGGCGGTCAACCAAGGGTGCCCGCTGCCAGTTGCAGAAGAGTTGGGAATCACAATCAATTTTTTGTTGACAGCTGCGCAGGCTGTGGGGGTGAGATGCTGAACCTCAGCCGGACTGTAGCGAAATCGAGAACAGTGGTCAGATTGCCGAGGATGCGTCTTAGAAAGTCTGTGTTTACAGCGGAAGTGTTGAATGAACACTTGTGGTAGGGAAACGAGGGGTGGTCCAGGCAGCAAGGGATGCATTGAGTTATGAGGCTCCCGCATGCAGAGCCAGGAACAGCGGTGGGCCCATGCTGAACGAGATCGGTGAGGCGGCTTCGACCAACTAACTCCGAATGTTGTGCAACTGGTCTTAAGTTGCCTTGGCTTGACTTACTGTTACGCTAGGACTAGGACCTGCAAGAACGAACACTTCATGTTGGATTTCATTTCTCAAGTATCATTAAGGAGATTTGTGTTTCCGGTGCCTCGCAAGGTTTGCAACGGGTCGGGCCGAGGTGATTGGGATGATCTCAATGCGGGCCCTGTTTGGCGACTCGGCCGCGGTTGGCCTTGTAGCTGGAGCTGTCTGGAGCTCACCACTAGCAGTCACAGTGTTTGTCCCAAACCAGAAGCTCCACCGCCAATTCCCCCGGCACACCATACAATTCGTTCGCTCCCAAAGAGGCTCTTGGCCCGAGAGATTGGTAGGCATCGGACAGCTTGAGAGCCGAAATCCGAAAAAGTCAGCGGACAGGGACGTGACTGTGCTTGCTTTTTTAGGGAGCTTCCTTGGCTTGGCGCTTTCGGAAGCCCCACAGCAGCCCACGTAGGAGAAGGGATCGGTTTTGCCATCCCCGCAGACTCCATCCGGTAGCGGCCTGAGCAGGGACATGGCCGTCGGGTGGTTCAGAAGCTTAGGCGACACCAACTACTACTGCTAGTACTGCCGCCCCCCGACTATCCACAACCACCACTCACTGCAAGCAACTAACTTCCTTTTAAAACTTTTGCAGCAACTGCTACTACTGCCGACTACCACTAGCACTGCCCTTGTTGCTCCTGCCATCACTATTGCCAAACTGATGACGACCACGAGTGGTCGTGTTCGTAACATGCGGCTTATTACGATTAAGCCGCAACCATGCTTATGAAGATCGTGAGGATCATGGTGATGGCTGTAACATGATGATGATGGCGATGAGGAGGAGGAGGATGAGGAGGAGGAAGATTGCGATTGCCCGCTCTTTTTGTTATTCTTGGCAGCAAATCAGCGCTTGCTTTGGACAGAATTTCATATTCGGATGGAATGGGAGTACATGAGGGCGAGTGCTAGGGGGGTTGTAAATCTACAGCGTTTCCGATTGTCAAGAAATACTGTTTGTAAAAGTTTCGGTTCCCTGGATTCGCTTCCCACCTTCAGGCTGATACCATCGTAACCGGCACCCCAAACTCTGTGGGCAATTGCCCCATTTCTTTGCAGCTTCGCGGGTGTCGCCTTGTGAGGACCGCGCTCCCTAGCCTCCTTGCAGGGAGAAAGGCCTGGAATCCCGGTTAGGAATCAGGGACCGATCTACCTTCTGCCTTAGCTTGCTGTTTGCTTCATCCAGAAGCTTCGTGGGCAGGTTCCACGCTCGTACATTGGGGTCAAAATGCGTCTCGGCGGCCTTGACTGACAGCATAGCAGAGTGCTGTCACAAGAACCGGCATGAAATCACTGTACCTTCTGTGGAGAGGACATGCATGCATCACCAAGCTCAACATCGCAGAACCCACGATGCTCCATCCTCCCGTCAGTTTTGCAGTCGTGGTTTGCCAACACTGACATAGTCCGCAATCAGAAGCAAGGAACCAGATCGAACCGGAATCTTCGGTCACTCCTTCCAATCCTTCCAAGGGCCATGCAAGACCACAGCGGCCACGAGGCGGGATTTGTGCGTTTGCAGCATTGGTTCTGTACTGTTCACGGATCAGAAGCCACGGCCCAGTTTATGATGTGGATAAACTTGTAGGCCGCTGTAGGCTTTGTAGGTATTTGTGTCAGCCATGTTTAGTGTCGGCCTGGGTTGTACATGCGAGCTCCTGTGCCTGCAGATGCCGTCATAGATCTACGTTCTGCAGCTCTTTGCTGACAGTTGGCCAGGTTTCAGTTAGGAGCCCCTCGCTCAACCCGAAGAATGTTCGGGGCAAAGGCAGCCATCATTCTCGTCATGACAGTGTCCAGCACGGAGCAGTTTGTGGACTCCGGACTCTACTCGGACGACAGCTGCACCAACCGCACCTCAGGTGGTCTATTTCCAGTGGGGTCCTGCACACTGGCAAGGACAATGGTGACGGTTGAGGGCACAGAGATCACGACCATCTCCTATGCCACCGCCGACTGCTCCGGGACCCAATTGGGAAACTTTACCTCGACGGATGGCAGCTGTGTTTCTAACAGGGGAATGTACACCAAGAACTCGATCTTCACCGCCGCCAGTGCCACCGTGGAAAATTTCGGAGATGAAACTTGCTCAGGCAATGCCACCTCGACCCTGACATTTCCGGTGGACATGTGCTACCCTCTAGGTGGGAGCTTTAAAGGAGCGCTGATTCCTTAAGCCTAGGAGATGCCCGGCATCTCTTTATTTCTCAAATTCCCTATATACGCATATACCTTGGGTTATCTAAGCCTGCAATGTAGATAGTTTGAGCGGCGGGCCCTGCTCGGAGTTTGCAACTAGGCGACACTGAGTCCCTCAAGTACCAGTGCGATGGAACCGCGGTCACAGCCCACATGTACACGACTGGGGACTGTTCAGGGACTGGGACCCTCATGGGCTCTTTCACGGGGGACTCGTGCGTTAACATGTCTGGAAGTTTCGCAAAAGCCAGCTCCACCGCGTGCACGGCCACAGCGAGCTTATCATCAAGCCCCAGAGCGGGCGGCAACGCCGCCTTCGTTGCGTTGGGCATCTTCGCAAGCCTGCGGAACGTGTTCTGAGACTCTGAGAGGGCCTTCGTACTGTCACATTGCAATGGAAGAAGACATGCTACTGAGTGAACAAGGGCGCCCTTGTCACTTTGCATGAGTTCCGTCAGTGGTTTGTTTGAACAGAATCTGGTACTTTGTATCCTTTCGCAGTGCTGCCTATGTGCGGCATGTGCCTTCCTTGATTTCCCATGAGCTGAAACGGAAATCAAAATGCTTTCACACGCTCTCCAGCCGCTTCGCAGTCAACCCCAGTCTCTGTTGGAGAAAGTGCTCTGGACGCTTGCCCGACCTAAGCCTTCGCCACCACTGCAGCTGCTGGCAGTCGCTGAATCATGCACAGAGGCACAATATAGGAGTCAGAACCTTGTCATGATCATCTAGTTTAGGCCCGCGAGTATACATGCCTCTCGCCAGTGCGCCGTGGTGGATGTGGTCTTGGATGGGAGCCCCGCTGCTGAGGCAGGTGTGCAGGCCGGGATAGACTGGTCTCGAAAGAGTTTGCAGGTTCGGACGGTCAGGCCTGGTTAAGGCTTTATAGGTTTCCGGTTTCGACGGCGGCGTCTGCACGGTATGTTGTAACTGCTTGATGGGAGCCAGGATTGACGGCTGAACCAACATACTGATGGCTTCAACGGCGAAAACACCTCAAACCCAAGACTCTAGACCCAAGAAGTCTAAAGTTATTAAGTCTCGTTATCACCACCATTTCATCATAAGGCGTAAATCATTATCACCATAATCATCGAAGGAAGAGTAAGGTCAAGCCGACGACAGGTCGGTGATCAGATCCTCGAGGTGGGCGGTCGGAAGGTCCGACACTTCGACGAGGTGGGTTTGGAGGGCTTTTCTCGATTCATGCTACTTGCAGGGCTTAGACATTTGTCGAATCTTTTGTTGAGTTTCTTCGGTTCAGTGGGCTTAAGGATGTGTTGTAGTTTTGGTTTAGAGATTTGTGGGTTGCGGTCAGGGTATTGTCGTTCTTCTTTTTTTCAGGTTAGGGCTCCGGGCCTAGTTTTGTGTGTGCGTTCGGTCTTGGTTTTTGAGTTTACATTTTAGTGCGCTTTCGTTTAGGTTGGGGCTTAGGTTTTTTGGCACGAATCAGCTTCCCCAACTGTTCCCTGCGAGGGAAGGCTTCAGGTTTGTTTCAACCCGTGAAAGCCCACACTCGGATCCTAAACCCTGCACCCTTGCTCAATTTTCAGCTTCAGTTCTTTTGCTCTCGAGCAAGAGATGTCGGAGTCAGCCGTGCGTTGTCCGCCACAGAATAGCCCAAATAATAGTGACTTAATAGTGTTTCGTCTAGTTCAGTTTCAGTCTTCCGGCTGGGTGAGGTGTCCTCATACAGTCCACTTGTTCAGTTCATTCAGGTTCTGCATATGTTTGTGTGTGTGTGTGTCAGCGTGCTGCGGTGGATGTGGGAGACACGCAGGCCGAGCACCCCATCACCAAGCGCACAGACGCTCGCAGAGAACACCTCGATGTTGAAGAAACAGCTCTGGGCCGCGAATGGCCGTGATACAGAGTCGTGATGCGGACGGCTTCTGCATACTTCTCGGCACTACTAGTATCTGAGGATCTGAGGTGGTCGGAGGGCTTGAGGTTCAGTTGGAGGTCACTTGCGAAGCAGCCAAAGGCATCGGGCCTAGTTCTGAAACCAGAGATCCCTGAGCCTAGGCCTCCGAGGCCTGACATGAAAAAAAAGCCTGCAGGTGCAGCTGGCTGTCCGAGCTCTGCCTGTGGACAATCGTTTGAAGCTCAAGGCCACACCGAAGAAGGGATGGCATTGAGTCTCAGGGATTAGCAGCCGCAGCAACAGCAGCTTGCGTCGTCGTGACGGTAGTGCGAGGAGGAGGGAGGGAGGTTTGTCAGTAAGTAAGGAAGTATACAAGTAAGTAGGCAAGTAAGTAGCAGTGTCAGTTTGGAGCCATACAACACGGCAGCAAGTGATATCACCACCAGTGCGAGCGAGCAGACTCTCCTCTACGGCATTGCGGTTGCTTCGCATCGTCGCTTCTGGAGTCCCAGCCCTCGCTCAAGGATGGTATGTGCCGGGGGGTCAGTATTTCCCCCATGCTGCTTCCAAGATTGAGAGTACATGATTGTGCTGTTGTCTTGCAGGTGAGGCGTGGCGAGAAGTCCGAGTCCCAGTACCGGAAAGGGCATTTTTGATTCTTGAAAGTGCAGAGCTCAGAAGCTCCGTTTCGGCTGGAGGTTTAAGCGCATCGGAGCTGTACATTGGTTCAACATATCGTCAACCAGACATCTGGAATCATAGATAGATAAATGTGTGTATGTATGTATGTATCTATCTATCTATCTATCTATCTATGTATATATATAATACTTATGTTATATAGTCTATATAAAAGATCCTGAAGCCTGAGGTTCCCAGCTTCAACTCCCTGTCAGCAAAGGTCTACGACCCTCGTCGTGACAACGGCAGACATCCGACGTTTGCGGGAGGCACACGCAAGATGGAGCTGCCATAGCATGTGCCTGGTCTAGAATCAAAAGTTACAACACCTTCACAGAAGTTCTTCGGTCCTGATGCTTGCCATGCACAAGATGTGTTATGATTTGCGTGCTCCCCGGTCCTTGCCGACATTTATTCTTTCCCGCGACACAGGAAACCTGAAATGCATGAGTCCGTTATGCATTGGCAAGGCGTCTTGCTCCTGAGTCTTACGGCTCTATGTCACTCCAACTTAGGGAGAGGTGAGCGTCGTTTGGAAGCAGTAGGGCTCCCCAGAGCGATGAACATAACTTGTGTTTTGTTATGTCATGCTAGGTTCTTCTGTCCGACACCGCAGCATGTCTGAGCAGCGTGCCATAATGCAAAATCCTCAAGCAAGAATCTGCAAGCAATGCTGATGCCAACACCCCCCTGTCGTTGCAAGGCATCGCCAGCCTCACCGGGCGGCCGCCACCGTGTGGTTTGTCCCTCAATGCCTGGGAAGACCGAGCACTCAATGCTTCTGATACATCGCATGTGGCGAAGAGTTCTCAATTCCTACAACGATGCTTCCGAGATCGGGGTAGGGAAGCTGCTTCTTCGATCTAGTGATTGACTACTTCCCGGATCCATAGAGACAAGCTTCCCCTCAACTCTCCTTTGGCCCAGACTTGAAAGTTCAACGCCCCGAACCTTGCAGGAACGACACCCCTCATACCTCCATGCGGCCACGTTGCTCATAGATTTGCACCATAAAAGCCTGAAGGCCCTGCCGGCTTCGATATAGAAGCTGACCCTTGAAGGAGCCAAAGACCTCCAGCTCGTCGAGCCCTAGCTGCAACTCTTATCCCCTGAACCCCACATCGGCCAGGTCCTCCTGCCCTGAGAAGCGGCCTCGGATGAGCCTGGTAGCAGTGTCAGCTTCAACAGGGAGCACCGACAGCAGTACATCGGTCAGGTCGCCAAGACCGGTGGTAGAATCAAGTACTTAATATACTCAGGGTAACATAAGCAGTAATAGCAGGCCAGCAGCAAGAAGAGTTCGGCGTGTGACCCATCGAAAGCACTGTAAATACCGATATGACTGGCGCGTCGGGTCACTTCTCGACCCCGTTTTTATATCCAGCTAGGCTGTTTGGCCAAGTAAATGTCCGAAACTTCCGAAACGCTGCTGGTGCTCATGGTGTCGTAGAGGACTTGTAGGGTCAGAGTGCCTGTATTCTGGGGTGAGGTGTCTGGCATCTTTGTACAGCAAGTTACTTTGCAGGCTGCAGGCATGCCACACCCCCGCCATCCGTTCAAGACGCATGGCCTGCTTGCATCATCATCGCCATCTTAATCATCATCACCATCATCATCATCATCATCACCGCCACCCCTACCACCACCATCAACATAGTATTGTTCAAGTCAGCAGCACACCACACTCGCAACAGTTGACATCAGTAACATCGTCATAAACCGTTGTTAACACCACCACTGCCGCCGCCGCCGCCGCCGCCGCCCCCGCCACCACCACCACCACCACCACCACCCTTTTATTCGTTCTGTGCTGTCACCAGCGAGCGTCATAAAGATCAGCAATTTCGTCGCCATCGTCATGAACTGTCTCGCCGCCTTGATGATGCTGATGATGACGACGACGACGATGATGCAATGATAATGATTATCATCAAGATAGTCGTTCAGCAGGAAGATTACCTGCAAAAGGGGGGAATGCAAGGAGCCTGTGAAGCATAGTTTCCGCCAAAACGGTGGGGCGACACGGACCCCGGCAACTTCGGAACAAAGACACATTCCGGGTTGCCGGATTGCAGAACCGGGCATGCACGCGGCCGCTGCGACATGACGAAGATGTATGCAGCAGACGGAAAGGTCTTCATCGCAATGCAGTGCCCGGCAGACTCCACAAAGCTTGGAGTCGGAGAAAGACTCGAAATCTGTGACAAAGCTGTAGCGGGTCCGTGCCTCACTGCTAACCTTTGAACAAAAGACGATACTTGAGATCTCGAGGATGTGTGCGGGAAGAACGTGCGAGACACGGAACCGTTTGCAAGATAAAGTCTGAAAAATCGTCAGGGTTCACGCCTCAACCATTCATTGCAAGGAGTTAGGCTGTTGCTCCTAACGCGAAGCAAGACACGAGGCGACCAAACGCAGAAAGGCTGCGACCTCGCAGAGATGTACGTGTGTAGCATGTGGCTCAGATTTGTAGGGAGTCCTTGCCACGTGAGAGCCGAACAATACAACCATGAATTGATGTCCGATGAAGTGGCGATGTTTTAGAACAACGGTAAAAGCCACGATGCCAAAACAAACCGAAGTTGTGCCGTCTCCCCTGTGGTCTTTGAAAGCTGCTATGACGCTGTAAAGGCCCGCAACGCGCACCTAGACATAAGGATCCAGCCTTTGTGGGAACTGGTTCTGTTCAGGGTAATGAATTATAAGATCTTTGCATGTACGTGCAGCTTTGGGCCTGTAGCTGTGAAGCCAGCAGTTTTCGCGGGATGCCAGAATGGAAGGTGTTCAAGTTCACTTATGTTCTGCCCCCAGATGTTTGAACAGCTCCGTCTGTCGAGCGCTGCAGTCAGTGGGCCGTCTCATGTGACCGCCGTGCGAACATGAAACAGAAGGGTTACAGAGGTCCGCTGTGTTGAGTGTTGAGCTGGTATGTTACAGCACAAAACAGAAGACGACGAGGTCCTGTACCAAGAGGGCGACCCGCTCGGCAAGCTCATGTCGATCGCAACGTTGTCACCGATGCTAGTAGCGCAAGTGACTCAGAGATCAAGGTTCAACTTCCGCTCTACCTTCAGAGGCAGACAGTCATTAATCATTAACTGTGTTTTGCGAAAACCGAAAGCCCATAGAGTAAAATACTTGTATGAGTGTAAAGTACCTGTACGAGTGTGCAACAAAGGCTACGGCAACAGCCTGCTTCACCTGCACTGCTTCAGGATCTGAGTCACTGCTCTTGGATCGTGCTCATTGTGGCTTCTATCTTCGTGCTCCATGACACTTCTGCCAGAAGCTTCCAAGAACCCTTTTCGCTGAGCATCACAGGGCCCTCAAGCGCTGGAATCCCGAATTCCTGGGCTCGTTTCGCAATCGCGGTGCGACCAATAGCAGGATGCGATTCTAGCCAAGCCTTCTTTGCGAGGTTACGGTAGCCAGCGGCCCCGAACCCCAAATCCGAAACCTCGACGTGCTGCGAGAGAGAGTGAGAGCACCCAACCACAAAGGTTCGGTCTGGGTGCTGCCTTCGTCGCGACCCGCCAGCTCCCCTGGGCGCTCGGAGCCCTAGAACACGGCCGTGAAAAGATGACTTTCTGCGGCTTATCAGTCTTCGCTTAACTGGTTTGCCTTTGATCTCCCTGGTCCTGTGCTGATTGTATTTCTCTAATCACTCTAGTCCCTTGCGTCTCTGGTCTTGGCGTCTAGCGACATCCGGGCACCTCTCTGGCCCAACTTGGTAGCGCAGTGGGCAAGCCGCAAGCCTTTGGATAAAGACGGTGGGCATACTCTGAAAACGGAAAGCCCGTCATGTTGCTACAAAAACCCTTATTCCTTTCAGAGTTCTCTGTCGTGCACCTCAGGGTTCAAGAGACGCATCGACAGCCTTGGGCCCAAATATGTTACTACATTTACGCTCAGACAAGCGTTCCCCTATTCCTCCAAGGGAGGAGTGTAAGCTGTGGCTTTCGTTAATTCCTACTACCTCGTTTCACCGGTGTCAAGATTCAAACTGATTGGTGCCACGGCAGTGAGTGAGTAGCCCACAAGACAGACAGATCCTGCATAGGTCTTCCATCTTCCTCCATAGCACATTCTTGTGTGTTTTGCCCCCTGCATTTTTACCGCCACAAGAAGCCGGAGCAAAGCAACAACCTGGCTAAGCCACTTAAGCCCTGAAGCGTGGAGCTGATTCCCAGGCCCAAGAGTCCCAAAGCCTCTTCAGTCCAGAGGTGGAGCCTTCTGGGTGTACTGGTCACAGATGGCTTCTGCATAGTTCTCAAGGAGCTCCTGAACCAGCGAGGGGCCCCAGTGGCCGACGCCTCGGCGCTGGGTCCTATTACAAGTGGTGCTGGTACTGTAAGTAACACCAACAGGTAGGGCATGAAAGTAAGAACAATATATTTCTTGCTGTGACCCGCTTGAGGAGTGTTGTGTGTGTGCGCGCTTCGGGATACCAGGGTTGTTACTATTGTTGACTCTGTGAACCCGTGCACCCTGCATCAATGTCAGCTATGCACGGGCCGAGGCCTCGACCCGAGGGAAGCTATCGTGAAGGGCACTCGACTTAGCTCAGGAGGGAGGACGTAGGTTGAGGGAGGCAGGTAGTTCATTCTACAGATATGATATAATCCACCAGCTCAAATTTGTTCAGCGTCACCGTCGACAATCAGCAGAAGGGTTCCCTACGATTCATGTAGCTGGTGTTCCTAGATGCGACGAAGTGCCCTTCCGACTTCCGGCAAGAGTCTATGTCCTTCTCGGGAGCGCGCATGTAAGAAACAGAGCCGAGGCCGGGAATGCCTAGCCGATCACCCAGCTGCCTTGAAAAGAGCCGTAGCTTGCAGGGCTTTGGCATCTATAAGTTTAAGTCTATCGGGGTTGTTCAGCAATCCCATGAGGGAATATAAGAACCAGAGGGCTAAATTCCACAAGCATGGGTACCACGTTCGCTTATGTCGGTCCGATGGCATACCCTGACTCTCGGTCACCGTTGTAAGGCGAGCATGCCGCGTTCTGTGCTTTTCTGGTCGCCCATTTGTCGCTGCCTTGCCCTCAGGATGAAGCATTCAGCTCTGAGATTACGGAGGAAAAACACAGCGAACCCAGTTGAGCAAAGGGCCTGTTGTCGACCTGATGTGGTGTATCTTCTACATCCGAACCCCCGGGTCCAACTCCTATCATGCACTTTTGCAAGGTGGGTATGCCTGAGGGCTCGATGCTTGCTGCCGCTGAAGGTGGGCACACGTGAAGGGCAGTGTCCGTATGACGACAGATCTAGCTGCTGCTGACAACCTGTAGACGATTTTATGCCCATGTGTCAGCATGTTTCTGTAGGCATACGTTGGTCTAAACATCGTGGTATGGCGACATGCTGTGAAGGCTCTGGCCGTCGTCCTGATGGCTGCATGGGCGCTGCTCGTGGCCTATTCCCGCCACCATCTAGGAGCTCTTCTAGCTTGTTGCTGTTGTAATCTCAGATTTTATCAGGACGCTTTTGACTTCGACGCTCCCCAGCCAATGTGTGTCTCGACAACCCCCACGAGTCCCAAAACCCTAAACCCCTAAACCCTAACCCCTAAACCCATAAACCCTAAACCAGGAGTTCACTCCGTGGTGCAGATCATCGCCGGGCTCGTTCTCGGCTGCTCCGGCGGATGCGTTGGGGGCCCGGCTGGGCAACGCGCAACGCGAAAGGACAACCTTCCGGAGCGCCCATTTCAGTCATGGCCAGGGCAAAAAGACCTCTTTGAATAGCGCAAAAACTGCTCGAACCTGCTAAGAAGTGTTCATAACACTGCAGTAATGGGCTGCAGTGGATTCCCAACCGCGTCGTGATAAGCCGAAGGGCTTTGGTTTAGCGTTCAGGGCTAACGGCAAGCAATCATTTGCTTAAAAGAAATACACTTAGACTGACAATGGTAGTAGAAGAAGATGACGGTGATAACAGCAACAGCAACGATGATGCTATAATGCTACGCAAATCTACGTAACCTGAAAAACCGTAGTAGCTGGTAGGTCGTTTCATGATAAATGTAAACAAAGCAATTTACTCATGGATATGCACATGTATATATACACGCACATAGACACTGTAGCTGTAATAGATACCTTTGAGCCTTTCAGCCAAAGGTCTGGTTTGTGGTGGAGCGCTGGCCTCCAACAGCCTCAGGTCTTGAGTGGGCTCAACGAGGCCTATGAGTCTTAAGCCCTGAAACAATCCCTCCTGAACAATTGGGTCAAACGGTTCAGGCAATTCTGTCTGATGATCGGCTCGTCTATCTGGTTCGGGGAGTCAAACTATCAGTGGGCTGCACGGAATGCTGTTTCAGAAATACAGGTCCCGGCAGGAGCTTCTTACTCTGGGTTTTCACAATGAACATCTTAAAGCCAAGTGAACGACCCAAAGCCAAGAAGTTTTCGGACTCTGCGAGGCCTCGACAACATTTGGAAGTCCTTGGGCATCAGCTTCGAGTGCTACAACCGTGAGCACACGGACTGACCTTCAGGGCCAACGTGCTCTGTGGCTGTCAGCAGCCAGTGCTATTGAAGCAATCGAGAAGTTGATCGTCCGACTTCTCGTTTCGAGCGGTGTCTGTCATTGCTCTGTTTAGGCAACCTGTAAACATGCGCGAAGCGTGACACGAACAAATGCATCTTGCCTTGGGTATCCGCGGCTGGCAATCCCAACCTGCAGAGTGAGTATGCATAATGCCCGTGCTGCAAGGAAAACACCCGTCACGAAAAGTTTGACACAAGCCTCGCGCGATTAACGACATTTGGTTTGTTCTCAACGAGACAAACATTCGAAGCCGAACCTGCTTGTACAAGGAGACTGTAGGCCTCGTTTGCACAAAACAAGTTGTGGGTGATGTTTGCTGTCATAAGTCTTAGTGCGGGTCTTTACAGGGATGCAGGTCGGACCCCGGCAGCATGGCGTGCTGTGTGAGTTGCACAAGCATTGGCTCGATTTAAGAACCGGAGTGGATGAGCGTGGACAGAGTCGTTGCGCCAAGGGGGAATCGGGTGTGCAAGGGCGAAGGCCAGCTTTTCGCTGCAGTTCTTTTTCTGGATATTGATGGAGTGCTACACCCCGTCGATGCGGAGGAAGATGAGTTCTTTGGTGGACCGCAGATGGAGCAGCTGCATCGCATTGTCGAAGCCTCCGGCGCACAGGTGGTGCTGTCCTCCACATGGCGCCTGTCGCCGGTGCACATGCGCCAGGCGACAGAGCGCCTTGAAGCCGTATCGATGCTCCTCAAGCCGCAGGGTAAGACTCCGAACCTCCAGCATCATGGGCGGGCAGTTCCTTGGATGGTCTCAGATTTTGCTTCGCCTGTGTTAGAGAAGTGTCTGCACTTGCTCCGCTTAACATCGCTTTAGGCAGAGATTCGAGCATGGCTGGATGATCATCCATGCGAGAGATGGGTCGCAATCGATGATCTGCCACTTGACGAGGCCTGCTTTGCTAGAAGCCTGCCTCGGTACGCCATGTTCGAGCAACTCTCCCGTCCTCGAGTACGTCAGCACAACTCATGCTTCGCGTTGATTATCCCAGATGACCGTCGTGGTTGCTAGTGCTAGCTTAACGCTTTTGATTAGGTTACTGCTATTGACGTCGACCGCTGGTAAGCTGCACACTGATGGCAATGTTGAATCATGGTCGACAATCATGTCCATGAACCATTGCCCATTGCTCTGGAAGAAACGCTCATAATACAGACAGGTACAAGAATCGTGTGATCAAAGCAACGGTCCTTTCAGAGTGCTGGCGCCTTCCATAACTACAATGACACATCTAAGGTAGATCTCAACAGCCACAAGTTTGCCTAACGGCCAAAAAGATGAGCTGAAACGGTTTGAGCTCGTCGTAAACACACCTGTAGCCGTTTCTGACAGATGTGGCCTTCTCCACAAACTAGCCCCTCGTTCAACAGTCGGGCCCTTGCTAATCCCGTCTTTTCGGTAGCATCTTCACAGTGGAAGTGGAAGCAGCAAGTAACGCTTGCTGCGCTGGCGTAGTGTCACCAGCGATGCATATGTCATTAGTAGGCCAGTAGGAAGACGAAAGATCGCTGACACCACCAGCTGGCCTGTAATCTAGGAACTTTGTCAAAGACCCTGTACTTTGTCAAGTCTTTGCCGGTCATGTCGTCAGGCAATCCTGTCAGCATTCACTTCCACGTAGGCTAGCCAGATGAAGTCGAAAGCACAAGCCCCATGGTTCGTAGCTTGTCACCGCTATCTCATTGTGACATGCAAGCAGTTGAGTCAAGACGATGAGACTGAGACTCAGGCACACGTTGTGTTTCGGCTTGCGCGCAGGTAGAGAGGCTCTGAACTTCTGGCTACAGCACTGACAGTACACTTAGGATTTCTATCAAAACCATGCAAGCTCGGTCGTAGCACAAACCCGACGGTCATCAGCATAGTCATAGGCATAGTCATCACAGTGATCATCATCATCATCATCATCGTCAGCATCGTTATCCTCACCATCTTCATGACGGTCAGCATGATCACCGTTAGCAAGGTACGAAACGCAGTTGCACAATAACGACATTGTAGATGCATAGATGAAACCATCAATCGCTCGAGCTCCCTGGCTGAAAATACTACTTGTACTTCCGATCTCCTCATGAGCAGTGTTTACTGTTGGAAGGTATTGATGCAACTGCCAGAACGCCTTACCATGGTGTTGACAATGATAGCGGTCCTAGCGATGGTGATCATGGTGACGACGACAACTACGACGACGGTGGCCACGATGAACATGATGGTGTTGATGCCGCGGCGATCTTTCTGATGGTGAGATAACAGTGACTCTTCATGCTCCTCTGAAAACTTTGCACAGGAGCTGCCGGCGGAACACGTCGTCCGCACAGAGCCTTTCCGCGGGCCAGATCCTTAAATGTTCCAAGCTTGCTGCCAGGACAGAAACGTAGTGACGACGTAGTGATATGCCGGCGGTGATATTTACCGACAGTGCCTCAGCCGTCGCTTGATTGCACAACTGCTCAAATGTTGTGCGGGCGGCATCATCGCATGGCGCTAGGTGAAAACTGCACCTGAGATGGCGTCACGAGAAAGCGTCTATTCCACGTGGCAGACGCAGTGGGATTCCAAGTTCTTCAGCTTGTGGGAGTCGGAACGACCCCGTCGAAGGAGCATTTACAGAAATGCAAGGCAGGATTTGTTCAAGAGGCACGGCCTCGTGAATATCACATTGAGGAGTCACTTGAAGAGGCCTGCATATAATCCACTTACCCACAGAAGCCCTCTCGCGGACTGGGGAAATCTCCGGGGGAGTTTCTAAACAGTATGGCAGAGACCTTGGAGTCCAAAACCAAGTCAGTATCCCTCGGAAGCTTCAAGCCGAGCCACAATCGCCATCCCCCAAGCGCCCGAGGCTGACCGCCGAAGCAGCTTGCGAGGCCCGCGCGGCTGGCTTTGGAAAGCTTAGGTTTCACGGATCAGGATTTTTGGAATTTGGGGGGCGGTGCCCGGCATCGAGGATCAATGAGATTGGGTCTTTAATTCAACAGGTCGAGACGGAAGATTGCAAGCTGTCTTTTCCCAACAGGCGATTGGCAAGCTCGGCCATTCCTCGGAGCTGCCCCAAACCATGAGCACCAGGCCAGGGCCATATTCGAGGAGGTAGAGTCAGGGATTTCCAGTTCAAGGAACCTAGGCGGAGAGTGGCTATGAGCGGCTTCAGGGCATGCCAAGCTTTTCAGTGACGGCTCGCTTCGATCTGCTCCATCACACGGCTAGACCCGGAGAAGTGGGACGATGGTTGGTGCCAGAAGCATCGTGCTGTCCGCAACCATCGTCTTTCACCATGAGGCGTTTGCTCGACAGCAGAGGTCGTCCACGGCAAGACGTCAGGGCCAGATTCATTTGTTGACCTGCAGCAGATGTGGCAAGCGCTACGGCAAGACCGAGCCTTGCTGTGAAAAGCAGTAAGAGCCTTTTTGGCGACACATGAAAAAGTATGCACAGCTCAGACAAAGAGTTGAGTTGCTTAGACATGTACTGGTAGCCGTCTTGCTGAGGACTCGGCTTCCATGTGTGGGCAGTTTCGTTGTTGATGTGCCGCAAGGAGCATTCCTTGAGACCTGTTTGTGTTTTTCTTGCCCACGCTCAGCTGTCCTGTGCTGCATGGCTGTTGAACTGGCCGGACATCGCGATGCCCGGCGGGGTCTGCAGACACCGCCTCCAGCGAGCCCGGTGGGGCTTTTGATTGTTTTTTGCCGAGCCCCACGGCTCACAGCATGAGTTTCGTTGGCTAGAAAATACATGATAAAGCTCACCTCAGCTGTGAATGTTGTCATCGTTGCTGTGGGGTGATGTGGGGTGAGAACGGATAAATGTGTCCTTCTTCTGAAGCAGCCGCGGTTATGATGCAGTTGTTTCCGAACCATTAAGGTCGGTCTTGGCATTGCATTCATCATCCAAAGTTAGGCAGTCGGTGGCCAGCCTTATACATCTCAAGTCCGCCAGTTCCCTAACCTCAAAGCACAAGATGCCGGGCTATGCGTTTGGCGAGCCATGACGGATCGGGCGTCTGATCCCTCGGCACAAGGCTGGCGCGTTTCGGGAAGCGAGGGTTAGAGAGGCAAAAATCGCACCGGCAACCTCACTGTCATGAGTAGAGCGAACATTCGGATCTTCTTTAAGGTTTGCTTACAGTACCAGAATTGTTCGACAGCCATGACGATGACGAGGCTGCTTGTTGGTATACTCTTACGACTCCCAGTGCGCACTTTAAGACACTTGTCATTGTTGTTGCTGTTGTGCGGCTGTTGTCGTTGTTGTTGATGGTGGCGCTGATGAAGCAGCGGATCTCAAGCTGTTGCCGTTGTGCAAGTGGTCGTCACCATTGACCAGAGTTTCGCCTTCCATTTTGTAGTACAACTCACTGTCACAAGTGAGGCGCATGAAAACTTACGAAGACATGTGGAAGTAGTTAGTGGAGCAGAAAAGCATAGCAGCCAATACATCGGATGGAAGAATTGCGTACGAAGGAGCCAGCCGTGATTCGTGTCGCCATACTCATCACACTACTCATATTGCTACATCCACCCATGCCTTACTGGTATCAGTACGGCTACTGCTGTGCTACTTCTACTGCTACTCCTCCTCCTGCTTCTCCTACTTCGCCTACTCCTCCCTTACCCTCCTCCTACCACTACCACTACCACTACCACTACCACTACCACTACCACTACCACTACCACTACCACTACCACTACCACTACTACTACTACTACTACCACCACCACGACCACCACCACGAC